TTCCCATGCTGCATGTCTTGTGAAGATACAACTAATCATTTTTTGTCTGACAGTTGCTTACTGCACTATTCTTGACAGGATGTAAATCCGAATAGACCAGAAAAAGGAAAGAAAGATTTATTACTATTTATGGCTCTCCCAACCATTAGATATCACTAAACTTAGTTTAATGGCAACTGCATAATCTTCCTTTTCTTCCTTAAATTATTCTTTCATTGAGGGAATATTAATGTTTTGTTATACTCCGTGTCCCTTTAAACAAGTTAGTTGAGTTCACCAAAGCCTTCAAAATTTATAGCTCTAGAACCTCTTGACAGGGTGCTGTTTGCGGCAGGTACGCTGGCATTTTGATAATGTCGATAGTTTGAGCCTGTCAGTGAGAAGTTTGGACACTGGCAAATTCTAGCTTGAATGCAGAATGGATTATTATGGTGAGAAATTAATTTTCCATAGTTGCTCATGAAGAACAGAATTGGTATTCTGATTGTCTGGAGGTAGGTCTATACTGCATGTGGGATTATTCTTATGGCACTGCTGGTTGTATTTCAGATGATAATAAGGGATTATTTGGAACAAATGAACTATTTCTATGAAAATCATTTGGAAGTTTATACACATTTCAACTTTTGAAGTATAAAATTTATTTTTTTAATTATTGTTGTAATTCAATTAAATTTTTTTTACTTGAACTAATATTTTTGTTAAAAAAAAAAATGATTGAAGTAAATCTACCTTTTCAAATGAATTTGATTTACTTCTAAAACAATGAAGAAAATGTTATTTGACAAGTCTGATGAGGCAAATAAATTACCCGGTCTTACTGGATTTGTTTTGCTTAGAGTATGTTGGGGAAATAGCAAGGAAAAGAAAAGTCATGCTATAGTAGGGATGAAAAATATCAAAAGATGTAAATGATTCTATTTCCTTTTTGCTTGGGAGTTTAAAAAACATGTGATAACATTTAGTGTAACGGCCCCGGAAATTTTTAAAATGAAATATATATATTAAAAAGGTCAAATGCGGAAGCGTAATAAAAATTTGATTTAACATCCCTTACACTAAAATAAAAAACGTGCTCAAAGTATAAAAAAACAAACTAACTAAAAGAGAAATTCGAAAATAAAAGTTCTAAATATGACTACGGAGTCTTCAGGCGTCTCCTTCGCCGTCTTCCTGCGGAACGGGTTCGGGAACAATGTCTTCCTGATCTGAAATTATTAAATAAGGAATGAGCTACACCAGCCCAGTAAAGACATCACACTATCTCACCGTCACGGAGGTAAAGGTGGGTAGAAAACACAAAAGGACCAATGAAGCATAGTTTACAAGAAACTCGTTTATTAGCATAAAAACCTTTACTATCCACTTATCTCGGTGAAATTCATAAAACAATATACGAAAGCAATAACATTATCATCATCACGAAATCATAGAAACTATATAACATAATACTTATCATGCCTTTTGCATCTCAATCATTACACAACATATTTTTCCTTATTTATCAGCCTACTAGTATCCATGGGGATCCATAGGGGTCCCGCTACCCGTGAACCTTTAACACTTGTAATCAAATTCCAGGGCCGTCTCCATACCTCGTCCGGTATGGGCGCAAAAACTATAAACCTCAATACCCCGTCCGGTATAAGGGTAAAACGGGCCGTCCCCATACCCCGTCCGGTATGGGCGCCAAAACACATAAGGTCTCCATACCCCGTCCGGTATGAGAGACCACAATCCCGGTAGGGTTCCCTACGGATCCGGTT